CTGGCGGGGCGGGGCAGGGCCGGTCGGGGGACCCAGGGCTCCCTGGGAGACCCGCCTCGGCCCCCATGTGACCCAGCATCCTCCTGACGAGGCCTCATGTCCCACCAGGCCCTGAATGATGTGAGCTGAGCCCAGGTGCCACTGCCGACAGCGCCCAGGACCTCGTGCCAGGCTGCCCTGGCCAAGACCCCTGCCAGCAGACCCACCAACCAAGTGTTACAGGCCCCAGAATGCTGCCCGGCCTGCCCCGCTGGCCGACTGTCTGTCTCTGGTGTTGAGCCTCCCGGCCTGCCCCAGCTGTGTACAGCACCGTCTCCGCCCTCTGTCAGCCTCACTCACCAAACACATGTATTTATAACAAGCTTCTGAATCGTGTGTTCCCAGACCTTGAATGGGCCCAGGCAGGGGCTGCAGCCACCGTTATTGACTGTTTCTGTGCCAGGCTCTGCGCAAGAGTCTGTCACTGTCTGTGAGTGAGCAGGCCAGGCCCTCCCCGTGTAACCCCGGACCGGCCCCTTGTCCACCGACACCAAGGGACACAGCAGTCATGGAACTGCACTCAAACCTGTCCTGAGAAGCTGCCTCAGTCATTCCTTCACCCAGCCCCACAGTGGGTGGTGACGGACCCGTAGGGCCAGGGCTGTGGGGTTGACAAGATCAAGGCAGGCTGCTCCGGGGCTGTGCTTTCTCCTGGGGCTGCCCTGCCAGGTTCTTGGAAGATCTGGAGGATTGTTAGGTCCCGTCCAGGGGCGGATGCTGGAGGGGACTCCAGAGGGCTGGCGGCTGGGTTTGAATGTAGTTCCTTGGGCCTGTTCAAGCACATCAGCTGCCCTGACTTAGCCCAGGAATCAGACTTGGGTTCAAATCCTGCCTGCCCCGCTCCTGGGTGCCCTCTGGTAAACTCCCAGAAGCTCCCCCAAGTGTTGAGGTTGAGAAAGCAGGTGTGGGTGGCCACATAGGGACATGCCCTCTCCATGGTGCTGAACGCCCGGCTTGTGCCCCAGGCGCCTCACCCCTCCTGAAGACCAGGGCTGAGACTCTGGTGCTGGGAGAGGAGTGGCCACAACAGGGTGCGGACTGAGGGGAGGGGGGCTGAGCCCACTCCTGTCTCAGGACCCACAGTCACCAACCCAGAGGCGCTGCCAGAGTGTGGGGTATCCCGAGCGGCTTGGGGCAGGGAGGGGGACAGGGGAGTGGCCCCAGCCTGGGGGTGGTGCTGGAACACTCCCTGGCCCCACCCCTACCTTGGACTCATTCAGCAGGTGCTAGGACTGGAGTCCTCATG